AGAAGCTTCAACCACTTCAGGTCATTTCAGGAATTTCAGGTGGGGACCTGAAACCGCTGAAGTGGCTGAAGCTTCTGAAAGGGGTTTCAGGTACCTCCATCCCACCATTTGCAATGGATGTGTATGTAATCTGAAAGTGGTGTATCAACCTGAAGTGGTTGAAATGCCTGAAGGTGGTTTTAGACAACCCCATGTATAGATCCACACACAATCTCAAAGTGGTGTAGTAACCTTAAGTGGTTGAACTGCCTGGAAAGGAAACCTGAAAATATATGCACATGTTAACCATCTCTCGGGACCGCTTGATTATGGGCACCACATAGTACGCCATCATTGTGACCGCTTGCATGCGCTTGCATTGCGAGTCGATATGAGTTAGCCCTGCGTCAATGCTGTTTTATATTAAGTCTCGCGCGCGACGCCTATCCGATTTCCGCATCGGAGAGTTGTGGGATGGCTACCGAGGGGCTAGGAGTGTTGTCGCGTTGTTTATGTTGTGTCGTTTCATGTGTATGTGCGTGCGTTGTCGTTTTGTGGTTTTAAGAGTGGTGTGCGCGTAGTGTGTGGGGTGCGTCCTTGTCGACCGACGACGAGTTGCGCTTGGGACCTCAGCCCCCCCAGATGTCGGTTCGCGTGCGGGTCCAATAGGCGTATTACCGCGCGTACTCCCTATGCTACAGCGAACGAGAAACGACCTTGGCTGGTCCACCTCTGCGATTGCAACCGAGTAGCTTTCGTACTGTGGACTGGAAGATCGGCGGGGATACGCCCACCGAAGGGAGGTGACAGCTCCCGTAAAGTGGAGGTAAGTCGTGCCTCGCGTAGACCCTATCCTGTAGTAGGGGCTCGCGAGAGGTATGGCTGGCGCACTCGGCCGGAGCGGTTTGCGGAAGCTCCATGTATGTATTTGCGATGAAGGATTAAAAACCAACTCCTCCGTGACGCGGCCGGGAGGGTCCCGCGCTGCCCTGGTGCGGTGCCGGACCGATGCACTCGACAGCGAGTCTCCTTGTAGCGAACGAAATCGAACCCCTCACATTCTTCTGACCCTGGCTATTCTTCGCGGCCATATTGACCCTTAACATCCGCGGGTCGGGCTCATTTGGTCGATTTCTCATTCCTTCACGCCCCATGGTAAATACTCTTTGCTACCCAACTCCTTCAAGTTTTCTTCCAGCTTCTTCACATATCCCCTGAAGCCTTAGATGTAGCCTTTGCATTTTGTCCACCAAGTCCTCCATTCTATCAAACATGTCCCTGACGTAGATGCTAACCTCTTCCTCCTCCGCCTCTTCTTCAATGAGGGGAAAGTCTTCCTTGTTTTTTTCGATCCCCATCCTGCTCATCTTTTCCTCTAAACGGTGTTTTCGTTATAAGTGAAATTGTTTTCATGTTCACTTTTTTTTTTAACTGTAAAATGGCAGAACGAAATGAGGAAATTATAAACGAAATAATGACAAAGCAAAATAACGCCAAAGCAAAATAACAACAAATCGAAATAACGACAAAGCAAAATAAGGACGGAACAATGTTCATATATCAAAGCTTAGCAATGCAAAGTTGAAGGAACGACAAAACAATGTTCATATATGAAAAGTTCAAGGAAAAATTAATGTGATAGTCATGCTCTCGTGTTGCTTGTGCTCAAAATATAATACAATGTCAAGTTTTTACCTCGAATGTTTACACTCAATAAACATGTCAATCTCATCAACAAAATATTAACTACGGACTGTAGCTTTAGTCGCACCTCATTGACTTTCCTATCTAACCATGGACAAAATGTCAAATACTATTCTAAGTCTCATATCAGAAATACTGGCTTGTGAAAAAGCAAATGGAGGGAAGTGACCTCTTGCAAGCAAAGATGCAAAACCTAACATAAAAACAACACAACTACAAGGATCCTATTGAGCAGGAATCCCATCTACTGATGTATCAAAGGAGGATGTAGGCCCGTCTACATTATATCTTTCGTGAAGATTGTGTCGATGAAACTCCGCTTCGAAAAATCTTTCAAACGTTCAAGGACTGAAACATAGTCAACACGAGAGAAAGAGTCTATGAGGTGGAATTTACAGTTCGGACCGTCTATGCTGACATAAGCTAAGGCCCAATGATTTCCAAAATGAAGAGGGATAATCACTAAGTCATAATCAAAAAGATTTGTGTCCTTCACCCATTTCATCCCTTCGGAATATGTGGTTTCAAACCTCGAAGGACCTGACAATCGAGTGAAGAAAAAAAAATTGAAAATATACACAAAAGGAACACTACAAGAGTTTTTATGATCTCTTGTCACTTCTGTACATGCCGAATCAACCTTGATGTGGTCATTGGTGATCTGGACGGCTAGCGGGTACAAATTGACGACTTCGTCATTTAGCTATTTCCCATCCTCGACGACGATCATGATGTGTTCCTTTCCCACCTTCCAGCTCCTCTTGTAATCGACAATGCCGTATGTTTCATTGTTTTCGCTGCTGCCTGTAATCATGTCAAGATACTCCTTGTCTTCTACAGTGAGGCGTTTTGTTGCTAAAGGAATCTGGAACGAAGGGTAATGAACTGCATACAAACACAAATATAAACAACAATGGAACGACTAAGACTTCATACAAAAACGAACTTTTCGTTATGTGTTGAACGACATAGACCCGAGCTCATGTTTTTGGTTGTCTATCTGTTTCGCTATCATAGCTGCCATCCACAATAGATAAACCGCAACCTTTGCGATGCAATTTCTTCCCTTCTTTGAGGCTTATTCCAACAACTTTAAACATCCTTAGGGCAGCTGGCTTCATAGATGGAAATGTCATAGGTGTAAGTCTTCTTCTATCTTTTTGGGGCAATAACGACAAAGTCGATAAGGCTTGCAAACCACGAGGAATAATATTTTTCTCACTCTGCCTTTGCGAACGTACGTGCGTCGTTTTCCACAGTTCTTTTCGTCGCCCTGCAGGTTCATAAATATAAAACGACAATGATTAACAAGACAAAACATTATGAGTTTAAGTTCAATTTTCCACATAATTGCAAATAAGAGATACATAATATTATACTTCATTTCTTCTCATTACCGAGCGCACAGTTGCAAACCTAGGCAAAAAATTAGTTCCTATGAGATGAGTGCATGTGCCCCCTAATCCGCATACAGTATTAGATATTCCCTTAGAGATAAGTACGTGCTCACCTCGGTGACTCACTAACGCTTTGTCTTCAACACGACCTTCTATCGCACCATGCGATGGTGTAAAAGGAGATTCGTCGATAGATATCACGAGGTTAGCAGACTGTTGTGCTTCTGATTTTGCAACCATAAGTTCAGGTTGTACAAGCGTATGTTGCTCCTGTGTACTTAGTACTATATGTCCTTCATCCTCTTCGATGGCCTGTACATTGACAGTTTTTTTTGCACTTGCAGTCGCGCTTTCATTCTTCATGTCCAGAGAGACTTCATACTCATCTTTCTCAACTGGCATATCCAACAATGGCATCTCTAATTCTGCAAGTGCACCAGTATTATCCACTTGCGTAGTAACACTCTCGCTCGCCAACACAGTGGTCGCCCAAACTTGTTCATCCGAAAGGACGTCCTCGACACATTTCGGCAGTTCTCCATGACTTACGCCCTTGACGCTTGCACCGTCGCTTGCTCCAAAATCCTGGCCACTTGCATCGCCTCTCGATCCCCTGCCATGTGCACTGCTGCTTGGTCCTAATCCTAGAGGCGAACCCGATCCCCTGCAATGTGCACCTCTGCTTGGTCTTGATCCCAGAGACGATCCCGATCCCTTGTCATCTGCACCGCCGCTTGGTCCTGATACCTTTCCCTCTGTTGCTTGACGCCCTTAACACATTTCGTGTTTTTGCAGTTCACCATGACTTATCGACTTTCCACTTGCACCGACGCTTGGTCCCAGACCCTTGCCATTGACACCGCCACGTGGTTCCGATCCCTTTTCATGTTCACCACTGCTTGATCTTGTTCCCTTGCCAAGCGCACCGCTGCCTGATCCCGATCCCTTGCCACTCTCATCGCCGCTCACTCCTTTCCTTTCCCCAGCTTTGTCATGAAGTTCCTGTTCGATACGCCAATTATATCCAAAAGTTTGACTTGTTTCTAGATCATAGAACTCTTCCAGATACTCAAGCCATCGAGATGTTTTGAACTCCTGAAAAATTTCTTCTGTCCTTGCATCCAGTCTTGATTGAGAAACCTTCGGATTAAGTCGCAGTCGTCGCTTGCCAATCGGATTAAAGGCGTGTGTGACAAACTTGGATTGTGACATACGTCTGTGGAGGCAAAATTGCCACTCCCCTTCTTCTTTTGTAGCCATTACCCAGTTTCCTCTCGCCAATGCAGGTTGGAAGTGGTGGGGGTGCCATATAATGTGATGACACGCAGCAACATACGCAGACGCGGAATCAGTACAAATGGCGTTCACCTTGTCGACACTTAACTTGTCGAACACGTCCTTCCATCGCTCCACTACGGCCTCTGTTGTCTCCTGAACAGCACCATCCCGCTGCACAGTACTGAAAAGGTACGTGCCCGTGGGACTAGCAGCAAGGAAGTTGACTATATGGTCGCTCGTGATGGACTTGCGACCATCCGTGAGGATGGTTGCTCCCGTCGCCTCAATGTCCCTGCGGATGGCCGCCACCATGTCCGCCACAACTCGCTGCTGCTGAGGGATGCCTTCGCATGAAATGACACGGTGCGTGGGTAATGCCGGATGTGCATACGACAGACACTCGAGCAACTTCTTCCTCATCCTTTGATACTCTGGCCTCCTCGCCACCTCGAATGAGATGCCACTCACGTACCACCACTGTAGGACGGAGTCCGAGAATTCTCGTTGCCACACTGGATCGAAGGTCTCCAGCATCGACGTATGTCAAAGAACTCTGCTCTTTTTCAGCTGAGAAGGTGCTGATCTTGCCTCAGTGGTAGTCATCTTCGCCTTCCTCTTTCTCTTCTTCAATCCCTCAGCCTCCTTCATCGCCCTAGCTGCCCCCTCTTGGCCACGACGGCCATCGCCCATCAATTCCCCATCCAGAGAGGCCCCAAGGTCTGCTCCCTCATCGTCATCGTCGTTGTCGGCGTCCTCGTCAGGGGTGCTGTCCTCCTCAACGGCCTTCTCCTTCCTCAACTTTCCCCTGGCACACTCCACCTCTCGCCGCTCCTCCATGTCCTCTGCATCACTCTCACCATCATCATCTCCACCCTCGACCGCCCTCCTCTCCTCCTCGTTGTCCTCAAACTCCTCATTCCCCGCCGGCTCCCTCCCCGATCCACATCTGTTGTCTCGCAACCCACGAGACTTCAGAAAGTCCACGATCTTCCGTGCATGGCTTGGATCGAACCCGTACTTTATCTTGTTCCATATCTCCGCCATCTGCTCCACGGAGATTTTGGCACAATTGTTCTTGATCGTGAAGTGTTGTGCGGCTTTCGTCTGGCTCCCCTGAAAACCCTGACCACACAGCTTGCACTCCATGAGGAAATTCCCATTCGAATTCGGCATCAGGCTTCCCCTTCATAACCCACTTAAAGCCGCAAAACTTCAGCTCCGCCTCCTTCTGCTTGTCTTTACTGAACGGAACGAATGGCTGATCTCCCCTCCCTTTCTTGGGCGCCATTGTAGCCTTGCAGGTAGCCCACCGCCCACAGATGCCGGAGCGGAGCTCAGTGGACAGCGCCAAAGCCCGTCCTGCCCAGGCCTGTCCCCCTTCCCCCCCCCCCCCACAACCCCCCCGAACGGGCCAAACACTCGAAAACCCTGTCAGTGAGCATGGCCCGACCACCAGCCCGTTTAGGCGTACGGGCCGTATTACGGGACCCTGCGTACGTACGCTCGTACGGGCCGTACGTACGCGTGCCTCCGTACGTACGGGCGTGTGTGCGTGGCGTCCGCCGCCGCTGCGCCGCGTGCCCTCCCGGAGAGTTGGCCGGTCCCCTTGGTCGCGCCGCCGCCGCCATCGCCGGAACCGTCGTCGTCATGTTCGCCGCCGGCGTCGGTGGGATCTCTCTCTCTCTCTCTCTCTCTCTCTCTCTCTCTCTCTCTCTCTCTCTCTCTCTCTCTCTCTCTCTNTCTCTCTCTCTCTCTCTCTCTCTCTCTCTCTCTCTCTCTCTCTCTCTCTCTCTCTCTCTCTCTCTCTCTCTCTCTCTCTCTCTCCGTCTCTCTCTGTTTTACTCACACACACACACACCTACACACTGGGTGGTGGGAACCAACAGTCTGTGGGGTTCACCCGTGATGCGAGTAGGTGATGTGCTGCTTTGCTCCGTGTTGATGTGTGGACGATCCCGTCTGCGCTCCACCACTGCCTTGCTGCCCGTTCCGCTTGCCTCGCAGGTCGTTCTTGGCATGCTGCTGTCTTCGCTATGTGGTGTGGCTGGGTTGTGGTGTTGCCTTGCGGTTTGCTGCTTCGCTGCCTTGCCGCCCGTCCGCTGGTCGTGCCTTCCGGGTTCTTGGTTGCTGCCTGCTGCTATGTTCCACTTGGGGACAGTCTGCCTTCAACAAGGGTCAAAGGGTGCATGACCCAAACCATCAATACGGGCATTCCGCAGATTGTCGAGGGTTCAGCCTCCTGATGAGTCGGTGCAATTCCGACGAAACAATCTTGTCATCATCAGTTATTATTTTTATTTTTTCGGCCTTTGAAACCTTTATGGACTTTACTTTTTTCTGGTTTGCCTGCCTTGTGTGCTTTTTGTTGTCTGCTGTTTTATATCCCTCGTGCCTTCTAGCCCTTGGCCTTTTTTTTGCCTGCTGTATCTGTTGCTTGTGGGTTGTTTACCCTCCCTCCTCCCCCGTGCCCTCTGTGGCCTGTGTGTTTCGTTGTTCTTACTTCCTTGCCTTGGGACTCTACTGCACTCAGATGCGAAGTCTCCTCCTGAAGTGTTGCGGTGGTATGGTGCATGGTTTTTACTGTGCAGAGGCGTCTGCAATATGTGTTCACACACATCATCACACACGCACAGAAACAAACAAACGAAAACAAGTATATATTTGCATGTTCTAGCGGGAGATTCAGGCGACTTCGCTCATCCTCTCGAGATAAATTGCCAGAAATGCAAACACGAAATTGTTTTTCCGCTTTTCAGCGCTCCTCTCTCGTTTCTCCGGCCTCATTCATGCCTCCCGGGACTAGGTCCCACTTACACGAATTAAGCGATATTGACCGTAGAGAGCAAAAATCAACGGCCAGAATCTCTTCATCCGTGCAAGTGGGACCTTGGGCCCGCTCTTGCGGGCGCGGCGGCGGGTCCACTTGTCATTATAAAAGGGAAACAAAAATAGAGAATGTTTTTTTCCCCTCAACGTTCATCAACAACCACCCCTGGGGTTCAAACTGAAGTCGTCACAATGGGCCTGGCTCCACTGCTCACCAAATGTGAAAAAATGAGAATGAATCTTCCGCTAGAGTATGGAAAGATACACGGCTATATTTTTTGTCTTTTGTGCCTGGGGTGACTGGTAGTGGAGCGGGGCCCAGCACTCGTGATTTTGCTGGCCATTGTTTTCGAGGAAATTGTGATTGAAATCTTTGTTTTTTTCTTAAATCGAATTGTACATAAACAAGCACATGGAAAAGAATAACAATTTCAGACAAAATCGAATTGAAAATTTGGGAGGGCAATCAATTTTCATGCACCCTCTTGCACAGACATGTCTGTAGTTCGTAACGCGCACATTCTTTTTTCTTTTTTTTTTTTTTTTTTTTTTTTTTTTTTTTTTTTTTTTTTTTTGGATTTCATTCATTTTCTGGAATAATCCTTGCATGTTTTTCCAAAAGAGAAAAAAAAAAGAAAAAAAAATGGGATGGAAGAAAAATGGGAGGGAAACAAAAGCCTTGCATGTTTCGCACATGAAAAAGCCTTGCATCCTGCACAATAATTTTCGATTTATGCGTGTCATCCTTGAAATCGCACGGGCCATGCTAATCTTCAATCTCTGTATCGTTCCAATTTTAACGGATGTCCCGAAGGACTGCGCAATAATTTTGTTTCCCTCGCATGTCTTTCCAAAAGAAAAAAAAAAAGAAAAAGAAAAAAAAGAGGGAAACAATATTATTGTGCAGGATGCAAGGCTTTTTTTTTTCTTTTTTTTTTACAAGGATGCAAGGCTTTTTTGCCCTCGCTATTATTTGAATTCATCTATGTTTAAAAAAATCAGTGAGTTTTTCTTAAAAAACAAAGTAAAACATCAGTGCCAATTTTTCCGCCTTTTCTTTTCGAGAACGAGCTTTTTTTGTTCCAACAGGGGGGTGGTCCCACTAGCAAAGACGATCGGATCGAATGACTGAATGTGGACGTGTTTGTCCAGAGGTGCAGGAAATCGAGGTGTACTGCTTTTCTGCATCTCTGCACAAAACACATCCAGATTCAGGCATTCGATCCGATCCTCTTTGCTAGTGGGACCTCGGCCCAGAACACCATTGTACGACCGTCAATCCTGTGTCATGGGCTGAATACCGATACACAGAGAAGAAGAAGAAGAGACTGAGGGCTGAATACCGATACACAAAGAAGAAGAAGAAGAGACAGAGGGTATACTCACACTACCGTCTTCATTCGAATAGAACGCCCGGTCGATAGAGCTGTCTTCGGCGCAACATTCGGTCCAGATGCAGCGATAAGAACGGGCGTTCTAGTCGGGTGAAGACGGTAGCCCTTTCCGAAATGTATTTGACTGCAATCACGGCCAAACTGTTACGAATCTGACCGCAATCACGTCCAGGGCTTGGTAGAAAAAGTCCGACTCTGAGTATGCCTTGCAGGGCAACAGCCTACCTTTGTTCCCCGGAATAAAATCTACGCTCATTATAGCTGTATTTAGACTGAAAGATACGCCAAATGCAGCTATAATGAACGTACATTGTATTGGGGGGAAGAAGGTAGGCCTGTGGACGGAGATACAGTAACTTGGTCATTATCCTCAATGACATGTCATAACTGCGGACTTAAATAAAAAATAGTAATAAGTAATAACCAATATATGAAATAGTTTTAATTCTGAACGTAAACAAAACTGGTGGTCGACGGGAAAAAGCAGCTCGCTCGCTTTTTTCTTTAACTATAAAGAACGACCGTAACCTATCGTGGCCTTCGCTGTCGCGCCTTCGTGTTTCCTCCTGAATCTGGATGTGTTTTATGCAGAGATGCAGAAAAGCAGTTCAATCTCGATTTCCTGCACATCTCCGTAACCTCGTCCAGATTCAGGCATTCGATCCGATCCTCTTTGCTAGTGGGACCACGCCCCGGTGTCGTTAAGCACGCGCTAGCTTCTCGATGTGTTTTCGTCAGTTCACTTTTTTGGAAGAATTTGAGTCCACGTCCCCTTGACGAGTGACATCTTCTTGCAAAAAAA